ATAAATATTATAGAAATTGGTAATTATATTAAAAACTATGGTAATAAATTAAAAATTCAAAAAAAGTAATTCAAAAAATAATAATAAAGGAAAATATTAGTAGGTCAGTTTAAAAAAATAGTTAAAAATGAAATGATAGAAGACTATATATTGTTCAAATATATAATACTATTGAATTATTAGAATATTAGTATATATTGTAATTATAGAATCTATATATATTAGAATATAATCAGTCTTTTGAGAACTAAATATATTAATGATCTATTATAGTACTTATGAAACAAGATATAAACAAGACCAATCTAAGGAATATATTTTGACAAATCTCTTGAAAAATATAAAAATCCTATAGTGGATTTTTGAAATATTATAAGATTCAAATAAAATAGAATAAAATTAATAAAAATAGTATTACTTGTTATGCTTACTCAGTAATAGATAATATAAGGTTAGATGAATTGCTCATATAATCAAAAAATGTATTATCAAGTGATTCAATAAAAAGATACTCAATTAAATTAATTAAAAAAAAAAAAGTTTCTTTAAATCTAGATAAAATTATTTATTTAAAAAGAAAGTTTATACTAGACAGTCATATACTTTTTCTATCCTGGCTAGATAAAACTTTAAATAGCTTATTTCTTGTAGTTATTTCATAATCTGTAAATTCTTAGACAATATAAAATATATTTATTCCAATTATTTCCAAACTGGATCTTTATTAATTATAAAGTATTAGCTTTATTATAAAGAGAAGTCTTAAGTCTTGATTACAAGAATTTTCAAAATTATCCTTTAAACCTTTGTAAAAAAAATAAATAATAAAAAAAAAAAAAAAAAAAAAAAAAGACGAGATAATTTTTATGCAGCTGCAATGTGTTAATTTCTTAAAAATTTAAAAACACGAATGGTTCGCGAAATCATTTGATAGTATTTTCATCAGATTTAATCTCCATATTTTACTATAAATTAATAAAAAAGGTGAGTGACGTAAATTTTCTGCAGATATTCAAAATTATAGAGGATACTTTTTGTAAGAATGGCAACCAGGGACGATGTAATTAGCACGAAGGTATCCTTGGACGGTAGATTTTTAAACCTTTTATTCAGACAAAGCCCAGATCGTAGTCTGGATCGTTATAAGGAGGTATTACCGGAAACCTTTCCTTTCAAGGAGGAGAGCAATATAGCTCTTCCGCCACGCTTGCGCGACATCCTGGAAAGTATCCTTTATAAGGCGAAATTTTTATTTCTTTTTAAAATTTTCTTTAAAGTAGGATTCCTTAATTTGAACAACAGGCAATAATCGCGACATTCACGTGAAATTAGGTTGTTTGCCCTACATAAATTCGGTTTATTTTGTTGTCAATGACAACTTATTTATTTGGGAATACGAAAAAGGGTAACCTTACTTTATTTTGACTATCCTAATCACGCTCTATAAAGATCTTTCTATATTTTTTTGTTAAAAAGATTTTCGACGCGTCTTGAGACAATCAGTACTTGTGTTATATTAAGCAAGCACTCAATATGCATGTCTTTATTTTTCAACTAGGAATAATGACGGTGCCATTGCCCATATTGACGTGCATCCGCTCCGAGATCAATATATTAAAAGCGTGGGTCTCATCAAACCAAGGACAGGTACGTAATTTCTTTTAGTAGGCATTTATTTGTCTCAATGTCCTATAATCAACATTTTCCTGAATAATTTAGATCGATTTATCGACAATGCTCAGTATGTTTTGGTCATTGCCACGGACAAAGCTATCTACATATTTGGATTCAGCTCTTCATCTCAAGGAGTGATATTTCACGACATGTCATCAGACAGATACAGGACAGATTACAGTAAAAAAGATATCGGCCCTATAATTGGCACGGAAGACGGTCGAATTTTTCTCATTGACGCTGGTGAACTTTGTGAACTGGTGTACGAGGCAAGTTTTTTTCTTTTATATTATCAGATCGAGATTTTTTTACATCACATTTTTATGCTTTTTTTTTTTTTTTCCTAAGGATGAGGGTTGGTTTTCGAAGGCTTGTCGTCTGGAGGTTCATTCCCTGAGTTCAATAAATCAATATCTTCGATGGGCTAATCCTTACTCCTGTAAGTCCTAAATCGCGTTCTCGGATTATTGTATTGAGTCTTCTCTTCAAAGTTTTAATTTTAAATGCGATGGACAAGCCGGTTTTAAGTCTATCGCAATCGATGATACACGGCGAATGCTGTATGCCATGTCTTCCAATCATATAGAGGTGAAGTTCAGTTTCAACGTATGATTAATATTTTCATTTTGCCAACCGTATTATTATTATTTTCTTAGGCATATTATATGCCCAAAGATGGTGCATCTTTGAGATCTGTCGGGAGATATTCAATTAATGATGATAAATCAATGCTTAAAGGCGAGCTTATATCGATTCATTCGATACCGAATACGGATTCACCGTATTTCTGGATGGTTGCGGTGACAAACACCGGTAAATTATCTGTTCTTGATGATATATTTATTTCGGCAATTTATATTAAATGAATATTTTATAGGACAACGAGGATACTTTACCTGCTATATTGGTAATAGAGGATACAATTGGTGGTTATTTACCGAAAGCGCGACAATGCTAAAGTCCAAAGAGCCAAATGGTTTATATATACTTGAAGTGCATGATCCACCACCACCGCCACCACCACCTGCCTCCCAAGCTAAGCCCGAGTACCATTCGTTTAAATATTTTCATGGAATTTTTTTCGCACTTCGTAGAGTTGGCGGTTCAAATTTATTAACAACCACAAGCCCGAATTACGGATCGATGTTCCGTAGATTTATCCAAGTACACCATTTTTGAATTGAATCTTTTTGTATGAATAATTAATTTACTTTTTATATTTCTAATGTATTGGAATTAAGAATCAAGAGCCAATTTTCTCCGAATATCACTATTCTTGTACTTTACCCAATGTTTTTGACATACGAGAAATTTACGATCCTTTAAACGACCCGAAAAAATCGGATGAATATTCTAATGAACTGATAAATCAATTCAACTCACTTCCTCGAAAGTTCATTTTGTACACCATGAATGGTAAGATAAGTTTTTTTGTATTTAAACTTTCTATGTTTTACGTGAAAAAAGTTATTCAAGTCAAATTATTTATATCAGGTATTATTATATGGTCCAAACAAAGGCCTGTCGAATATCTTCACAACATGATTAAAAAGAGTACGTCCAGAGATGTACTGAAAACTTTCTTTGATAAGTAAGTTCTTTCAAAAATTATATTATGTATGTATACTTCTTTCATGGTTCATATGCTTTACGAACTTTTCCTATTTGCTAGCTATGGACAAGAACAAATATGCGCATTGTGCCTTCTAATCGCGAAACCAGAAAGTCATACTTTTATTCAGACGTTTGGGCGTAATTATCAATTGACATATACGTCGATTTTGGAAGTTAAATCATTTGAAGGTTGAAGCTTAACTAAAAATCAACTGTTTCAGCATCGTATAATACGTTATTCGAAGGGTTTGCTTTCTGTTTAGCACGGGTTCTTAGGCCCGTTTGGCGTCAAAAAATCCTCAAAGCAAGGTTAGCAGAACGCGTTTATTAGTCATACTTGTTTAATTTGTGCATGTAGAAATAATTATCGATAATTAAAAGCTCTGCGTAATTTTTACAATGTTCTTCAAAGGTGAATACTCCGCCGTAATGATGTATAGCTTCTACTTAAAATAAACTTAGTGAATTTACATTATGGTCTTTTCAATGTATCAGCCCTGATAATACGAATCCTGACCGGCGAGATGCCAACATTCCGGTACCAATACTGAAAAGAATAGTAGACAAACTAGGAGAAGTAAAGAATTTTTTGTGACAGGTATTGTCCATTGAAGTCAATGGTGCTGTGAATAATTTAAATGATATTAAAAATTTGCATTTTAGTTATCCTACGTTTAAATCACCCCCACAAATGATCGGCGATACTACAACGGTATTTGTATATATGTAAACTACACGACAACTTCAATAAGGTACTAATAATTCATCACATATATATATTATCTACAGAATATCTCATTGAGTTCTTTATATGATTTGCTTGTCACACTATCTGACGCGATTAACTTTATACTACTCATGACCGAGTACAATCTACCGGAAACGATCGCAAGGTTTATTAGACAGCTTTTCTTGAATCCGTGATTTTTTTTTAAAAAAAAAATAATCACCAAATATGAAGCATCTATTATTGATTATTTTACGTAGTATCTCTAAGAGTTCGCAGCAAGTTGTTTTTCAGTCTACATTTGAACAGCTGGTAACCTTTCAACAAGTTAGAAGCAGTTGGCACGATTTGGTACTTGCGATAATTAAGAGGGAAAGTGGCCCACGTGTAAGTAATTAGGTTCATTAGCACTTATATCTTATTTCCACTTTCGCAAAATACACTTTTCATTACGAATTTTTTATTAATAGGTTGATAACCTTAGTCGTGAATTGGAGCGACGATGCCCCACATTTTGCAATGCTGCTGAAACGAAGATGTACCAGGTGTGCTTCAAAATTATTATTATTATTATCATTATTTGATGAGTGATATGGAAAATGCTTATTGATACTTTATAGGGATATGAGGCTTTGCAAAAAGCGAAAAAAAGTGATGACGAACATACCACTAATGAAGCTTTGCGAAATTCACTAAAGTAATTCATTGAGTTATTAATTTAATGATCAAATCAAGTTTATGAACAAATCTTAAAATTTTGCATAGCCTTTTTTGTGAGTGCATAGACATTTTAACATACGGAACTTTAAATAATCTATGCCAAGAATACAAGAATTTCGGTTATTACGAAGGTAATATCTCGTGCTTTGAATTAAAGTCAATAGATGTAAATTAATAACTCTTTAATTCTCAGGTGCGATTGAGCTTCTGTTAAAAGCTGCCCAGAGTTTTGACCCAGTACCAGAAAAACGTAACTCAATTCTTGACCTTGTCATCGATACCTTAAGGGACGCTGGAGTTTTTGTGGATGGAATTCAACGTGAGTTTCTTGGAATCTATTAGAAGATGCTTAGAGTATTAACCTTCAATATTATATATAGGAAATACACAATCTTATAATCCAGTACTTCAAAAAGCTCTCAATTTGGGAACTTCTCTTAACGATAAGACCTTTCTTTATGCTGTATATGACGAATTTTTGCGGGCAGACTCTATACCTCAATTGTTTGACGTAAGTGTTGTGTTTTACGCCTTAGGTGAGCGTGTGAGAAATGATAATAATAACAATTATTATTTTGAGTAGCCTCCAGCACCGCATCTCGAAGATTATCTAAACTCATCCAATGATTTGAAGTCACCAATTGCGAGGAAAAAAATGGATTTGTTTTGTGATTTTTGTGTTACGCATCATCAGTATCTCAAAGCCGCCATGGTCAAAGAACATATAGCTAAAAATTCTGGGTAATCTATCGAGTCTCGTAGTTGGGGTTAGATTGTTGTGGTCTAAATTACTGAAAATGGAAAAAAAAATTCTTAACAATATCCTCACGTGCAGCAGTGATGTTGGCCTCCAAGAACGATTGCATTATTTGAGTCATGCTGTGGGTCAGGCTGAAAGCGCCAAAGAAATATGCGAAACCAAAGATGTAATAGAAGCTCTGCATAGACTTCGAAACGAGCTGAAGGTTATGGTTCCTTTTTCTCTCATCTATGAAATTCCTCCAGGATAGAACTCAACCATCTGAACGAAAAAAAATTTTTTTTCGTTTTAAATATAGGTTGCCAGAATTCAGTTTGAAATATGTTCGGAAATAGATAATATGTCTGATGCAAAATATAGAAGTATAGCGATTTCAACGGGGAAGCCGGATAAATCGCAACTACTTGCGTTACTCAATCAACAGCTCTTTGATGCCGATATTGTGAGAAACTATTGATTAATTTATTTTTATTTAATGCAAATTGAATCTAACCAACTGTGTTATATCGATTTTAGCTCCTGAGGGACTTTGCTATGCCATTTGATCTGGTGGAGAAGGAGTTATCAATTGTGCACGCCGTTGAGGTTGCTCCCCGTCGATCAGACATAGATAATATATGGAGAAGAATAATGCAGAAAGGTATTTTTTTTTTTGTAAATTTAATTATTCTCTTGCCTAGCTAAAGTTAATTTTTGTTCATCTTCAAGCTTCACAAAGGGCAAAGGAATCCGGCACCCTTCAACCAATGACCGACGTAATACTGGAGTGTGGGCGAAGATTTTATCCTCACGATTTACGCGTGTTTCCAATGGGTTTGTTGAAAAAAATTTTTTTTTTTTTTAATTAAAAATAAGAGTATCGAATGGATTGAAGTATTCACATTTACTTATGGCCTTTCGATGCAGAAACGATTGTGCGCCTTATTGCAATATATTTAATCGATAATAGAGTCAATGAGCCTAATTTTATTGTGGAGGTTTTGAAGAAAGCGAATGTCGCGTTCGGCGATCTCTTTAATACCCTTCATCACTTATATGCACTCAAGGTAAAGTGAAATTTGCAATTATGATTGGCATTTAAACAACTAGTTTCACAAATCTTCATCGATTCTATCAACTACATGTAGATCGATCCTTTTAATTCCAAAGAGGGAATGTATCTTTTACTCAAGGAGCTTGTTTACCTGCTTAATCAATGGATGAAATCTGTTGATGAACGGTATTTGACATTCTCTTTTATTCTCATTTGATAGATGAAATTTAATTCCTAATTAAATTTTATGCTCAGTTATGACATCGAATCAAGGGTTATTCATGGATTTGTATCTCAATATTTAACGACGGTCAACCATTTTTCACTCGGACAAGATCTTTCTCATGAGTTTTTAGAAATCCAAAGAAAGCTCGAATCTTTTTCAACCATGCTAGAATAGATACGAATGCAAGTCAATTTTTGGTGATTGGTATATTTTTGCCTGTAAATTACTCAAAATTCGAGAAAATAATATATAGAAATTATCGATCTTGTTAAATTATATAATAGGAGATTTATTTTTTGTTACAAAGAGATGAAAATCTACAATAATATATTTGCAATTTATTATTAATAAAAAAGCAGCAAATTATATTTAAAAATTGCAATTACATAAAAATGGCCATTAATTCGTAACAATAAGACATGCATATTTGTTTTAAGTTATCATAGTTTTAATTTCAAGTAAATTGGGGGGGGGTTTTTTTTTTTTATATATATATAATAATAGTAGAATCTTCACGAGCTTAAGAAGTTAATGATCATCACGTGACATTTGATTTTTATATCGTGTGCTTTTGCAACCATTAATCCTCACTTTACCTTCTCTGATCGTTTTTATTTTTCTCGTTTCATAAACATTATTTCAAAATGGGAGGAGGCGACTTGGTAATGTATATGAAAATAAACTCGGATCTACTGTTCATTGTTGCAGTCAGACTAAATGAGCATCTTTTTTTTAGAATATGAAAAAATCCTGGCATCCGCTCTTGATTAAAAATCAAGAACGGGTGTGGAAGGAAGAACAGAAGGCCCTTGAGGAGCAAAAGAAGTTGGCTCAATTAAAGAAGGAAAAAGAGGAAGAAAGACAACTTCAGGAGTTGAGAAAGTTACAGGAGGCAGTTGGTGGGAAGTAAGTACTTTCGAGTTCACATGCATATAATAACTATCTAAAATCTAATTTATATCTTCTTTTATGTAGGAAAGGACCAGAGCGACTTGACTGGATGTATGCTGCTGGACCTAATCAATCAAGTTCCGCAAAGGCGCAAGAAATGGAAGACTTTTTACTTGGGAAAAAGCGTATAGATTCACTCATTGACAGAGGCATTTCTTTGAGCAAGGTAATTTCTTGAAAAAGGGACACAGGAATTAATGAGTTTCGTTTTTTATTATGCATACTAATTAACGACTTGTAAACAGCTTTCGGTCGATTCAAAGGATGTCTTTATCGACGCCGCAAATCCTAATGCTAATTCATATAGAGATACGCAAACGAAGATTCGCGAAGATCCTCTGCTTGCTATAAAAAAAACCGAACAAGCCAATATTAAAGCCATAGTCACCAATCCTCTTAAATTAAAAAAGCTAAAAGAGGTGAGGTGGATAAAACTTCTTTGTTACGCAAACGAATTCAATTACTAATGATTTTTTTTTGTTTGGGAATAGAAAAAGAAAAGTAAAAAAAGTAAAAAAGATAAGAAAGAAAGTAAAAAAATAGAGTCCAAGAATGGAGAAAGAAGACGTCACAGGACATCGTCTGGGGATGATTTATCCGATAACGCCGAGGAAATCAACAAAAACGGTCGATCAAAACGATCACGATCTCGTAGCTCGTCACGCTCACGTTCCAGGGAAAGATATTATGAAAGGCGACACCCCGAGTCACAGCGTTCAAATGGATATGACAATTCACGAAAGGATGACTATGTACGCAAGAAACGAAATGGAGATAGTCTCTATGTTAACTCGGTACGCCGAAGATCCTTCTCGCCTCCTAGGAAGCGAAACCGACGCAGTAGCCCTTTTCGGGACGGAGAGAATTCCAAAGACATAATAAATGAACCTCTTAGTAGAGAGAAAAGAAGTGATCACCGATTTAGAAATTGTCGGGATGATCATCGAAATCATAATGGACATGATAATAATACTCTTAGTATGGAGGCACAAAGAAAACTACAAGAGATGATGGATAACGCCAAGAAACTTGCGGAAGAACGAAAGGAACGTGTTGAAAAGATAAATAAGGAGGAAAAAGAGGAAGAGTATAAGTTGGTTGAGGAAAAAAAGAGAACTTTGGGAATGGGAGTGCATTCCGAGTACCTGAAGTAAGAATCTAATTTTTGCAAACTTTAAACTTTGACAATTTACATTTTTTTTAATCTTTGTTTCCTATCTTGAAATCAGGAAAGTGTACAAAGATACATATTCATCGAGCTCTTCATTCGATTTGGGTGACCGAGTCCGCAGGCATCGTGGCACAATACAGATAACTTCTGGCGAATAATTTAAATTAGGTCATCGCCATTTAGAAGGACGCATACACGCTATTTCATTAAGATGTTAATTAGCTACAGTATTCATTTTTTATATTATATGTATTTTTTTTTTTTTTTTTTAATTGATTGATTGATTTATTTGACCGAAAAATCCTGCCTTTCGAGATGTAAAGACATTCTAACCTTGAGTGGCAGTTTGAGGTCACATTATTTGCAATTAGAATAATTTTAAATTTGTAAGAATCGTATGAGTTGCATGTTACATAATCACTTCTTTGTCAATCAGCTTTTTTTCAATAGTTAAACATTAAAAAATTTCCGTAAATTTGAGGAACTTAATCATAAATTTCAAAGAACTAATAAACCAACTTGATTCTTGTTACACATCACCGTAAGGAATCACGTGTCTTATATTAACGCACAAAAAAAAAACCCCCAGTCATTTATTACGTGTTTTACGATCGCGAAATCATGTCGGACGATGATTTTATGCTCGAAGACGAAGAATATACCTTTGATTACGAAGAAGACGAGGAACAGGAAGAACCAGATGTGGATCTAGAAAACAAATATTATAATGCAAAAGGTCCGAAACAGGATCCATTCTCTTCTTTGAAATAAGTTTTCACAAAAAAGTTTGACCTCTGAAAAACCGCTAGTCTTAAATGTAATTTAATATCCCGGTTATAGAAAACCGGTAGAAAGCTACGGATTGACTATGTCTCATTAAAATCAATCAATTCATTTTGTTCAGCTCGGAAAGAGGATGATCCAATTGGTGCCATTAAAGAGTTTCAATGTGTAGTGGAGACCGAGCAGGAAAAAGGCGACTGGTACGTTCGATTTGAAATTTACCGGCCGACTCACCGCGTATACACGATCTCACCGCATTATCCTTTGATATAGGGGTTTTAAAGCGCTCAAACAAATGGCCAAATTATCATTTAAAGCTGGAGACTATGAATCGGTACGCTTGAGAATTATCGGCGATGGAATTAATGAATTCGGTAGAGCTACATAACGCTCACTCTCTTTTCAATATAGACGCTCAAGTATTATAAACAACTTCTTTCTTACACGAAATCAGCTGTGACACGGAATTATAGCGAAAAGAGCATCAACAATATATTGGATTTCATTTCCTCGTCCCAAGACATGACTTTCATGGAGGAATTCTATTCCACTACCCTGAATGCTTTAGAAGAGGCAAAGAATGAGGTGAGTGAGACTGATTTGCTAAACGATTTCCATTGCAAGTTGTGATAATGGGAATTTTTTTTCGTTTCAGAGGCTATGGGTGAAAACAAATTTGAAATTGGCCAAACTTTGGCTTGATCGAAAAGAGTATACCAGGCTGAATAGGGTAATGATTTTTTCGTGGTTCTTTTTACCGCATCACATCGAAATAACAGGAGACTATTTGTTTTAATTAATAGATTTTGCGTCAACTCCACGCATCTTGCCAAAAGGATGATGGAACCGATGACCAGCGCAAAGGGACGCATTTACTAGAGATTTTTGCACTCGAGATTCAAATGTACACGGAGACCAAAAATAATAAAAAGTTAAAGGTCCATATCACAAAAATTTTTTGTTAGTTTACAGAGGATCATCTTTCCTAATAATATAATACCCATCTTTGTAGGCTTTATATCAACAGTGTCTTCACGTCAAATCGGCTATCCCACATCCACGCATAATGGGCGTCATCCGTGAATGTGGTGGCAAGATGCACATGGGAGAGAGTAAATAGTTTTTTTTTCTCCTTTAAGGGACAATGCTATAACCCATTTAAGGCAATTGAAGTAATAAATTTCTTGTGTCTCAGAGGAGTGGGACAAGGCCCAGACGGATTTCTTCGAATCCTTCAAGAATTATGATGAGGCCGGAAGTCCTCAACGTATACAAGTGCTGAAGTAAGCCAATTTTAGACCCCACGAATGTTAAATATCCCAAGAAGTTATTTGAACACATCCCCTCTTTGCCTCTATAGGTATCTTGTGCTTGCCAATATGCTGACAGAATCACAAATCAATCCATTTGACTCACAAGAAACAAAGCCGTAAGATAACTTTCCTTATATCGTTTGTCTACTGCGGGATAAAATATTTATGAACTTCTATTAATTATTCCAGATACAAGAATGATCCACAGATTGTTGCCATGACCAACCTCGTTAGCGCATATCAACGTAAAGAAATTAGAGAATTCGAGAAGATTCTTAGAGGTTAGCAACTTTCGATCGTAACTTATTTTTTAATTGGATTTTGTGGATGAATAATAATAAATAATAATTTCTTTAATTAGATAATCGTGCTACTATAATGGATGATCCTTTCATTCGAACATACATCGACGACGTTCTCAAGAATATTAGAACACAAGTTCTGCTTCGACTTATTAAACCATATACGCGAATTGAGATTCCTTTTGTCTCGAAAGTAAGCAAGAGAGAGGGTCAACATTTTTCCAGGATGTTTTTATCAGTCACTTGTAACAGAGTCTCTTGTTTCTGTTAGCAACTTAATATTCCGGCGCAAGACGTTGAAGATCTTCTTGTCGGCCTTGTCCTTGATCAAAAGATCAAAGGTCGTATTGATCAAGTGAATCAGCGATTGGAGTTGTACAGGCAGTACGTATAAAAAGTTGATATGGCCGCTATATATTTTGGCGCGTAAATGACATTTTCTCGATTATTTCTCACTAGGTCCTCTGACACCGAACGATATAATGCTATCGACAAATGGTCAAATAACGTGTCCACTTTATACAAAACGTGCATAAATCGGGTCACATGAGTATAAATTCCTATATTTGACATCCGTATATACTATGTATTTTATGATATATCGTTGAAAAATTTGTAGATTTAGAATTTGAAAAAAGCATTAGTGTTAATCACGTAATGCCCATTTTGAGAAAGAGTATTGATGTTTATTTTTAATAATTTACAAATTAAATGTACTGTGCGTAGGGTTTAGAGGCCGCAAGCCAAAGTATTATGACATTCGTTTTAAAATTAAAAGTAGATATACACAAATTTTTATTGGTGAGATGACTTTCCATAGTGGTGGTTTATTTGCGCGCTCTTTTTCCCCCGTTCGTCGAATCGGCCAACGCATGCCCGGTCGTATTGATGTGAGCAAACAATTGATTTCTACTCGAAAATACTTGCGAGCATGTATTGCACTTTTGCTAGATGGAAAGAACAGATTGTTGGATGGTGCATAATAGCAAAGAAAATATTGAAAGAAAAAAAAAAGCGGAAACTGTACCTGATTGGAACTTTCAACTTTTTTCTTTTTTCTATTCTTTTTCTTGTCCTTGACATTATTAGCACCGCTTTCTTGCTGGTTTGATATTTCATCCTCATCATCGTTCAAGAAATACGGAGTCGCACCAGACTCCTCATCAGACTCGAATCCACCACGAACAGAGATTTTGACCTTGTCCAGAGCTTCCGATATTGTGTCATCATCGGGTGTTACTAAATCCCTATCATCATGAACTTCTTCATCTTGATCAAGACCCCAGTTTGGATTCCGCTGTTTTTTCTTTAGTTTCTTGTTCCGCCTGGCATTTTTCGTGGTTGATGATATATCATCCGTCGGCAGCTGCGGTTCATCGGTACCACTATTACTTTTTGGTGTTGAAAACATATTATGATCTTGTCTTGTATCCTCTTCGCCAGTGAATTTTGTGTCCCGAGATATAAAGTCTTCATCATCAAGCATTTCCTCCTTCAGAATTTCCACATTTTTTATGTGCTTTTTACTCTTTTCATGGTTAATCCATTGTTTCTCATGTTTGAAACTTTTGTTACATGCCACACAAACATATTCATTCTCAGGGATGTCCTCCTCTTCTTCAGATTCTTGATAATCATCATCCTCAACTTTTGTCCACTCCTGCTCTCGATACTCCTGAAGTTTAGCGAGATATTCTGCACGATCTTGGGCCGCGCGTAGTTTAACACTGGTGGCTTGCTCTTCCTTTCTTCGTTCCATGGCGCTTAGATATTCTTTATATCGCGGATCCCGCTTTTGAACAAATTCAACTAATAACTTGAATAGCATTTAAATATTTAATAATGTTTCGACTTGGTCCTACTGAGAAATGGAAAATAAAAATAGAATTGTGACTTACTCTAACAGTATCGTTATACTCTCTACGGGCAGAGTCACGTGATTTTTTATTCTCCTTCTCCATGATCTTTTTGATGCGACGATCGGGTGCCTAAAGTTGGAAAGTTTAAAAGACACGCATTCCAACCGTAAAAATAAAATATCAATTTACCTCTGATAAACGATGTTTATCAAACCAAATAAAGCTTTTCCGTGTAGCAAAATTAAGCCACGAGTTATAAAAGTTTTTAATAGAATCTCCTGACATATTAATATCACCGAATGAAGGGAATGAATGAAAATCCTCATCGTCTCCCTGACCATATGCGAAGGCTTCTGATTCTTCTTCCGCTAATTTCGCGAAGATTGATTGATATACGGCGTAAAATCCCTAATAATCCAGCATAGAATTAATTGACTACCGAAGAAAAAAAATTAAAGATATTGAGAAAGCCATCAACAAAAGAATATCGAAACACTAAAGCATGAATACTTTTGTACTATTATCAAATCCTCTATAACACCCTACACTAAAGAATTTCATAAGTTCTTCAGCTCTGGTGCCCTGCACTGAACTTTTTTGTTGCCTAACTTCGACGTCAGTCTCTTCGTCGTCATCTGAAAAGAGGGCAAGATTTATTAAAAAGAACACAAGAATCGTATCTTTCCAGGTTTATAACATCCTATTTACCTTCTCTCAAGATTGCGTCCCGATGGCCATCGTACCTAAAAGCGGTCAACAAAGAAAGTCTATCAGCAATATTAAATTTGTGAATCTTAATCAACTTTACATACCATTCTCTCTCGTGAGGATCCGACAAAACCTCGTAAGCTTGTTGTATAAGGGAAAACTGATTTGTTGCCAATTCTATTCTATGATGATTCTTATCAGGATGCCATTCCAACGCTTTCTTTCTATATGCCTTCTTTAGTTCCTCGACTGTAACCGAGCGTTCGACGCCCAGCAGTTCGTAGTAACATGTTCGCATCTTTTTTTGCACGCGGCCGATCTATGAATATACTGTAATTTTTATACATCCCACAATAATCACATGACCGATAACAGTCATCGCGATGTATATATGATTGTTCCGATGGTTAGACGATATCAAATGAGTTTGTGGCTAAAAAAACAAAACACTATAAATTATCATCCTATCCGCCCACCCCCTCAAAACTTCAATCAACATACGGTTAAAATTAACATCAAGTTGCTTTTCTATGTTCAATATCGTTACAGAAAAATTGCAAAATTTGTCATTGGAAGAGAACGAGGAACGAGGTGCGCAGCTTGAACTTTTTCCTTTACTAGTCGATCAGCACTAACGTCATTTTGCAAATTCGTGAAGAACAAAACATCAAGATGAATGATCGTGAACATAATTCAGGTGTGTACGTGCGAAATCACTATATATTATACATATATATCATCATTGAGACGCCCCAAAATTTTTCTCATAACTGGTCAATTTTCAGATGATCACAATAACTTGATCGCGATTATGAGAGCAAAAAACATAATTGCATTCCTTCGCGCTCTCAACGACGGCTCTTTTCGCGACCTGGACCCTCGCAGCTTTGTTGTCATTTCGAATGGTCAATTGATTGGTGTTTACCAGAATAAAGAAACGGCGCGTGTAATTGCCGAAGAAAAAAATCGAGAAATTCACTGCCGTCAATCAATTGATGAAATGATTTTCCCTGTAAATGGAAATTTTAAATCAAAAAGAGATTCTGCAAACATCTTTGATTCAATGAGCAATTTGGCTTAACCAACCTGATCTTAGAGAATAGGTGGATAAGTTTTTGACTTAAAATGGAGATTTTCAAATATTATTATGATCGTGCGTGAGACATGATGCCCATATATAGTTAGCAGGTGGTGAAGGCTCTACAAATGTTGGTGGTATGCGTGATGCTGCGGGTACACTGGGCGAGACTAAATAGGCATCCCATTTTTTCCTAATTAGGTTTAGAGTAGTTAAGTGATGCACTCAATATATATGCTGTAAATATAACATTGTATATTCATTTAAACCTTATTAAAACCAAATTATCAATATCGAATTCAGCTTGGTGCCAATATTCGTATGTAGGATCTCTCTCGCGTGCACGTTCTTTCATTCCGGCGTCCATCGCTTCGTTCCTTTTGTGTTCCGCAGCTGCATTTCTCTCTTGATCGAGTCGCTCCTCCTCAATTTTCATGGCGTCATTCAAAGACGCAATTTTGTTAAAGAATTCATCGTCCTCCTCAGGGAAGAAGTGACCTTCGCATCCGTGAAATTGCATTATTACGAGAAAATCCATAATACAGAGGGCGCCTTATGAACAGAATTGGTTTATTTACCTTCACGTTTCAGGCGTTCTCTACGAAGATCCCTCAGCCTTTTGACTTTTTCGAGAAGTTTTGAAAGTTCCTTGTGTTTGCTCTTATTCGCTTCAGCTTCCTGAACCCTTTTTTCGGCTTCTTCCTTTCTTGATTGTTCCTGTAATAGAGGTTCTCGGGATGAAGCGGATTTATGTAGTTTCTATGTCCATTATGGGATACTCACCCTTTTCATGGCTATCTCCTTGGCGATCCACTCGGTTCTCCACTTGTCAATGGTTTTGTGAAGCGTCTCTCTTTGAAGTTGTCTCTGATCACGTACAGCTTGTAATTTCTTAATATGCTTTTTATTCCATTTCTTCGTTGAGAAATATTAAATGACCAGTCATAAGAATTTGATCCACCAAAAAGAACAGCGTCTATGTAACCTTTTTACCTTATGACGCCTGCCCTTCGATAATTTCACTTTAGATTTGTCGATAAATTTTCTGTCAAATATAAAGGCCATATTTGATTCAAATGCAATCTAAAGCGTATAAACCACATCCATCAGTAATGCTATTATCTGGTACAATGTTCCTTTTTGTCCGTACTTTAGATTTTTCAAAATTTTCGACTAATAATTTCCACTCTTCTTCTTCGGTCGAACCTTTTAATTCCGTAAATATTGCCTTGAGCTTTTGCAATTCGTTTTTTGTCTCGAGTATCTTATTACGAAGGTTCGTGACGTTGAGCGTAGGATATCTTGAATCCTCGTCAGTAATATTACGCGTCCTGAGCCATGATTTGAACCATTTTTGTTCAGCAGTGGATTCATCGATAACGGTATCTATTTATTAAGATCCCGGTAAGTTCGCAATATATTATATGTAGAATTTGTAAAAGGGAAAAAAGAATGATTCACATACAGGTCGAAGTGGAATACACATCCACCCCAGGCGGTGCCTCAGGAAGTTCATGGTACTATAGCGATAAACCAATTTTCCGGAAAAAAAAATAGTTATTATTTCCGCATTGTCTTTTTTTTTTCGGCGATTAATACACTGTACTCTGAGAAGAGCTTACATTAGAAGGTTGTGGTTGGTATAGGGACTGAAAATGTGTCAGATGTTCATACGCAAACATATTTCCCGAAAGCGCACAATTTTAGAGAAATACATTTATTCATTTGTTACACGAAGTTATTTTGTCTAATGCGATTATCAGTTTGTAATCAAATCCGATCGATTTTAGATAAAAAAAATTTTTTTTGATCGACTCGATTGAATATTAAAGATGAATTCTTCGCTCCTTTTAACTCGACGATTATCTCGCGTCCTGCAAATTAAACCGGGAAGAACTATATCAAAGTCTCTTTCGATATTGTCGAGTTCTAGACCTCTCATGGGTGAAATTCGATCTTCCACATACGCTCCGGTAGCTAAAAACAGTTTTTTTTTTTTTTCACTGTAACAGGCGTCTTTTGGGTCCTCGGCTAATATAACGTCTTTTACCAAACGGATCCAAATTTTATTTCAAGTCTTCTAATTTTAATAGTGTCAAAACTTATTGGCCAACCCAAGTCAGAAAGATTCAGACGCTTGATTTTGGCGGCACAAAAGAACAAGTACACGAAAGATCTGATTGGCCAAAGGAAAAATATCAAGAACTATTCAAAAACGATACCATTGCCATTATTGGATATGGATCACAAGGGAGTGGGCAAAGTTTAAACGCCAAAGACAATGGGCTAAACGTAATTGTCGGTCTGAGAGAAGGAGGCAAAAGTTGGGAACAGGCAAAGAAAGATGGTTGGGTATGTTGCCCAATATAAATTCGTATTCTGTTTACATTTGTGATGTTGATAATCTTTTTGATCGTCAAATTAGGTACCGGGAAAGAATCTCTTCTCGATTAATGACGCTCTTTCGAGAGGAACAATTATTGGTAACCTTCTCTCTGACGCAGCTCAAAAAGAGCTTTGGCCACAATTCGTTCCACATTTAAAAAAAGGAAAAACATTGTACTTTTCCCACGGATTTTCGATTGTCTATAAAGATCAAACCCATGTCGTTCCACCATCAGACGTTGACGTAATCATGGTGGCACCTAAAGGGTAATTTATTGACTAAGAAACGAATTCCCACTTGAATCATATTAAACGCTGTTTTATATAATTCGAATACTTTAGCTCTGGAAAAACTCTTCGCTCACTATTTCTTGACGGTCGTGGTATAAATTCATCTTTTGCCATATTTCAGGACGTATCTGGAAAGGCAAAGGACAAAGCCGTGGCTCTCGGCGTTTCCATCGGATCTGGGTACCTCTACGAGACCACTTTTCAAAAAGAAGTTTTCTCGGATCTTGTAGGTGAACGAGGAGTACTCATGGGCGCGATCCAAGGTTTATTCCTCGCTCAGTACGAGGTGTTACGAGCTCATGGACATACACCTTCCGAAGCATTTAATGAAACTGTCGAAGAGGCCACACAGTCTCTATATCCTTTAATCGGACAAAATGGCATGGACTGGTAAGAGAATCCTTTTATTCCGTTTTCTTCTGCTGCCAACAATACTTTTAGACGAAGACCTTTGGTAATTGTTGTGCGACATAAATCGCAGGATGTATGCTGCGTGCTCGACAACGGCGCGACGAGGTGCTCTTGACTGGTACAAACCTTTCCACGACGCTACCAAACCCGTCTTCGAAAAATTGTATGCATCAGTCGCCGATGGAACTGAAACGCGCCGTACGCTGGAGAAGAACTCTTCTCCCACTTATCGAGAGGATTTAGAAAAGGAATTAAAGGAAATCAGGTACTCGAATATATACAACGATGCATAAATATTTCTTCATTCCGTTACGATATCTTAACGCTCGTTTATTTTATAAAAATTCCTAGGGAAAGTGAAATGTGGAGAGCTGGCAAGACTGTACGAAGGCTTCGTCCTGAATGGAAAGACGATTAGTTTTTAATTGCATTTGTTAAAAAATCTCTGAATTCATTCATTATTTGAGTAATGGTGATTCAAGTCAGGAAAAAAAAAATACAATCGGGTTAAGTTAAATGGTCACACTAAAACTTTGTATTAAAGATGATCAATCGTCCAAAAAAATATTATCGTGTGTAATGATGATCACGATATTAATTGAATTTTCACATGAACACTCGAATTTAATATATATATATAAGATGAGTTAATCTCAAAATTTATTATCACCACTTGGATTAGAAGCGTAGATCCCATCCAATTTGGGGACCATATTTGGGTAAATGTTCGGCCACTGTTGAAACATCCTTATCTCCACGACCACTAACACATATCAAAATATCTTTGTCCTTGGGCATTTTTTGAGCAAGCACAATTGCTTGATAAATGGCGTGACTTGTTTCTAGAGCTATGGAATTAAATTAAAATTACTGAAATATCGCAAACGCAACTAGCGAAAACACAACAGGATTGACATACCTGGTATGATACCTTCCAACTCGGACAACTTTCTAAAGCCAATCAGAGCCTCCTTATCGGTAACGGCGTAGTATTCAACTCGACCAATGTCCTTCAACCAAGAATGTTCTGGGCCGACACCGGGATAATCCAATCCAGCACTTATACTGTGCGTCGCCTTAATCTGACCTTTATCATCTTGTAGCAAATATGTACGGGTCCCGTGTAACACCCCCGGTGTTCCTATGGACAAGGTCGCCGAATGAAACTCGGTGTTGACTCCTAAAATAATAATAATAATAATAATAATAAATAAATAAAATAAATAAAGTAGCTTTGTAGTCGAAATGTTCATTGTCTAATATATAGGAAGGTAAAAAAGAGAAAACTCATTTACCTTCACCACCAGCTTCAACACCTATGATTTTGACATCTTTGTCATCAATAAACGAATGAAACAATCCAATAGAGTTGCTACCGCCTCCAACACAAGCGATTATTGCATCTGGTAATTTACCAGCTTTCTGCAACATCTGCCTTCTTGCCTCTTTTCCAATTACAGATTGAAATTCTCGTACGATCGTAGGAAACGGATGAGGTCCTATCGCCGATCCCACAATATAATGTGTATTGCGTACATTGGTTACCCAGTCTCGCATGGCCTCATTGATGGCGTCTTTCAACGTTTGGCTACCTGCGTAGGTTAAACGATGTGGTCACACTAGTATTATGTACACTACGACGACCAAGTGTTTAACATCATCAAAGGAAACAAACCAGTGTCTACGGGAATTACTGTGGCGCCCAATAACTTCATCCTAAATACATTTAATGCTTGTCTTCGAACGTCTTCGCTGCCCATGTAAACTATGCACTCCAACCCAAATTTTGCGCAAACGGTTGCTGTGGCAACGCCATGTTGACCAGCACCGGTTTCAGCGATGATCCTCTTCTTCCCTATACGCTTGGCAAGGAGAGCTTGACCAATCGCATTATTGATCTTGTGTGAACCTGTGTGATTTAAATCTTCTCTTTTCAACCAGATCCTCGCACCACCGGTGTCCTGCGTTAACCTATCAGCAAACTGGAGTTGCGACTCCCTACCCATATAATCATAATATGAACGAAATTCTTCCCAAAAACTTGGGTCCTCCTTGGCCGAAATGAATGCCTAGTAAAAATAAGGTCAATATTAATATGCTGAAGTTTAAAATTATTCGACATAAATTCTCACATGCCTTTTCGAGCTCCGTCAAACAGTCAACCAAAGCTTCTGGAACGTACTGACCTCCAAACTCTCCGAATCGAGAAGAAATATCGTGATGCAAACTATCCTAATGATAGATAACTTCTTTAGGAATTCCCCAACTTCATTACATTAAAGCCACCTACATATTTGAAATGGAGATACGATTTACATTTTCACCGAATGTTTCAGTGAGTTGATTCTTAATCGCAGTTCCGTTTTTAAGATCATTGTAAATGTTATCTAATTGTTGAATAAAATGTTAGCAACGAGAAATATAAGGGATCTGTATTAACAACTAAATTCACTACCTTCCGTAATAGCTCTATCGGATAAACCGCATACTTGAGATGCATATGCTTTTACACATTCGGCACGCTTCCCCTTTTCTAAAGTAAAATATTGATTATGTAGATGCGGGAATTCCTCTAAAGTTTATTTTGAATTATTAAAATACTCACCGGCCTCTTTCAGAACATGAATAATTTTAGTGCCAATTACAACACCTTCAGCATATGATGCGACAAGTTCAAAATGTTCTCTTGTCGAGACTCCAAATCCAACAGCTAGAGGTAAGTTTGTATGTTCACGAATTCTGGAAATAAGACTTGGTAGCTCACGATTAACCTCGGAACGAAAGCCTGTTGTTCCCATCCTCGATACAACATAAATGAATGAATCGGATATGCGCGACAAATGTCGGATACGCGAGTCGGTGGTGGAAGGAGCGATAAGTGGAACATAACTTAACCTGGTAACAAGATAACACACGATGCTAGTAAAGGGAGATCAGTCTATCAATTATTATTATTATATGCGCATATATTCACCCATTACGTGCACAAATCTCTCTAAAGACATCAGACTCTTCTGGTGGCAAATCAACTATAATAAAACCATTGACTCCAACTTTTTTACATTCCTCCACTATCTTTTGCTCCCCATAACTTAAGATCGGATTATAATAGCCCATAAACAGTACAGGTGCCTTAAGACCACGGGCTCTTGCTTGAGAAACGAATGATAAACATTGTGGAATATCAACATTATGTTTAAGAGCAACCTACTTGTATCAGTCACGTGACCGAGGAATTAAAAAAAAAAAAAAGAATGCTTGTTACAAAACAAAGCGTAAACCATAACTAACATTGTTGGATTCCTGTATGACCGGTCCGTCAGCTAAGGGATCGGTGAAAGGAAAACCTATACATCAAGCGGAATTAATATCAAAACGCTGGTACAATTTTTTATTTCTCGACCGTTATATCAACATTACCAAATTCGATTATATCGGCACCACCCTCTTCAAGTCCAAGTAGAATATCGACGGTCTCTTCGGGGTCGGGGTATCCCGCAGTCACAAAGGCAACGAACACTGGACGCTCTGAGAATAATTAACGTCTATTTACCAAACTATATTTGTTTAAACACAATATGCACTTCAAAATATGAAAATCTACTTTTTTCGTGACATTTTTGAAAAACTTGACTTAAAAGTGTAGACATTGGGTTGGTCGAATAAAAAGAGATTTTCGCTGATTATCTGTGCGTAATTTATAAAACATCGTGTATTACCGGAATCAGGAATTTGGAATTTGATTCAATATACAGTCAAACCTGGGTCATAACGAGGCTCTAGGATAATTGGTAAAAATCTAAGAATTTTTCTTTTTTTTTTTAAATCGCAATAATGCCGTTATGGCATATCTTTATTGAGATATTAATAAAACATTTTCAAAGTTACATTGACTTTCACATGATAACTAACTCATCTTTGTACTTTAAAGGATTACATTTACTTAAAATATAAGGAGTTCACTAAGTTAGTTTGAATTAAATAAAACCAAGTATTCTAAATCAAATTTAGAAGACAATATTATACAGTATTTCCTTGATAGATTGATACTTGACTTCTAATCAATCAAAAAAATAATAATTCAAATTTTTTCTCTAATTTTAATTAACTTAATAATCTTTTCTTTAAATAAATTTATCTAATTGAGATATATTTCTTTTTCTTTTCTTTTTTTTTAATCCACAGTCAGATTAATTTGACATGTATATACTGTATACTTGATATTTACAAATTGTTATGACTTTTATTTTTTTTTTTTTTTTTTGATAGGCACATACCTAACTTTATTGTTTTTCAAATTACATATATTGTTTTTATTGTGCCAAGTATTGGTACATATATATATATTTTAAAATGATTAAGATAATGATTAGCTAAAGATATTTCTAAAGTTACACTGAGACTTATTGCTCTTTCTTTTACAAAAAAAAAACCATTATCCCTAGAACATACTAGTGTTATGAAAATAAAAATAAAAATAAATAAAAAGTTGAATAGTTATATCATTTTGTGTAAGTATTGATTTTGTTTCTTGACATATGCCTGTTTTGTTCTGAATTCTCCTATAGAGAGATTTGAGAAAAAAAACTTCTACTAAGTCTTTATGAAGATAAGTTGAAGGTTAAAAGGAAGACTTTATAGTTTTAAGACTTATGGGAAGAAAGTAATCAGAAAGATCCAATTGATATATTGATATTTACATGAGTAATTTGATAGTCTTCCAGTATATCATCAATTAAATCTATTTCTATTTAAATATAAATATACTTATCCATCTGTGTCTCTTATCTCAGATTTAATTTCTTATAAGAAGGATAGTATCTAGCCTCATGATAAATATACCCTGCTGGTGATCATTAATGTTAATGATCAATGAGAATCTTTCAGATTATTTAACTGACTTATACATCATTGTTGATATTTTCAAACTCAAGTTTCAATTGATGAAGTGGCATTAGCCTTTTAGTTTTTTAGCTTGAGATTTTTTGAAGATAAGACAAAAATTTCCTAGATTGCTTTGCATACAAGCTTTAGCATTGAGTATTCCTGATAGCTTTTTACTTTCTCTGGTTTAGACTTTTCCATGCAGTAGAGACTAGGAAACCTATCTAACATACAATTAAGATATAGGAGACTCTGATTTGAAAAAAAATCAATCAAACTTTTTATGACCTTTGCTATGGTCAGATGGACTCTTTCTTGTATTCAATAATATATTGATAGCATGTTCTATATCTATCCATATCAATACATATAACTTATAATAGACACCAGATTCTTATAGGACTGGAAAAATACATTCAGACATATGAGATAACCAATAAGAACTTGTTTATTAATCTTTTACAACATGTTTTATATTAGCCAATCAGAATCAGTGAGATCTATACTATTCAAAATTTTAGGATTAAACTGGAATAAGCAATGTTTCCTAGAATACTATGGAAAAAGTGGCTTTTAGAGATTACAATGCTAATCAAAGGATAAAAAATAAGTTCTTTGATTGAAATAAAATCTCTATTGTTTCTCCATCATAGTTGAGAGATGACAGATACTGTACTGTTAATTCTTTTCTCTTTAAAAACTTTTTTATTATTAATAGTAAAGATAAGAACTGAACTTTGCAGGTCATAAGAATTCAATTTGTTCAAAAAAGATTGTAAATAAGATAGAAGAGGTGTGAGAAAGAACTCTTTAAATTGGTTTAAAGAAAGTAATAAGGCTTTATTAGCATAGAAGTATCAACACTTCTTGTAAACATCTTTTTTGTATGTAATCAGAGAATCAGTGGAAAGAGTTTGATATGATATAGTATATTATAGCTTTTATATTATAACCTATTTATTATTAAAAGAAATATTTTTCTAGATATAAATTGGAAAATAATATTTTACTTCTTTATTGATTTAGATTATTCTTTAATCAATAAAATTATTGCTTATAAATTATTATTATTATAGATTATCAAACACTAGTCGAAATTGTGTTATTCGGCTGCTGAATTATTGCTGAATTTGGAAAAAATTAATAATAAAAAGATTGACTAATTATTTATGATTGCTGTCACTTGGCACTAAAAATATCAACAAAAAATCAGTAAAAAATATTGGTATACTGTGAAAAAAATTCAGCACAAAATCTGGCAATAAAAAAATTTTGCATATTGCAACAAAAAATTTAGCAAAAAAATCAATACTGCGACAAAAAATTCATAACAAAATTAATATTGCGGTAAAAAAATTCATAAAAAAATTGATACTATGACAAAAAATTTAGCTATTGTGGCAAAAAATTCACAAAAAATTAATACTGTGGCAAAAAATTCAACAAAAAAAATTACTGTGGGAAAAAATTCAACAAAAAATTATTGCGGCAAAAAATTCAAATTTCATGAATTTATTAAAAAATTACAAAATTAATTGACTAAATTATTTGTCATTTTTCTCTTCCTTCTCTTCCTCCTTTTCCACTTGCTTTTCTTTTCCCTTTAAAGATCTCAGCTTGACTTTTTTAAAACTAGTCCCAATTGATTTTACCTTGTCAAATGTTTTCCGAGATTTTTCGCTTTTTTTTTCTAACCTAACTATCCCAAATTTTATCCATTCATGCACTTTCCCCAGTTTGTTCCTCACCCTCTGAATACATTAATAATTCCTTATATTCAGTAATTTTTCATCTTTTGGATTTATCTGTCAATTTTTTATCTTTTCCTATCTCTTTTTCTTGTTCACGTTTTGAAATTTCTTCCAAACTGCATGTCCAATTCGGCAAGCCTTCTGGTGGAGTCACGTCATAGTAATATGAATCGTCACAATATCATTTACGAGTCAGCTAAAACACTTGAATTAATTTTGAATGTTTATCCAAATATTTCAACAAATCCTTTAACTATAAGTAATTATGATTAATATTGTAATTATTCGATATAAAATATTTTTCCAAAAAATACCTCTTCAAAATATCAATTGTAATCATATACATTTATTCTTCTTTTAATAGGGTTTCCTGGATCAGTATCACTTTCTTCAGGTGAATACACCTTTGTTTCTTTAACTATATCAGTTAATTCATCCCAATATTTGGCAACTTTCTTTGACCTTCGTTCAACAAGCGACTGTGCACTTTTAATTCTTTATGCCCTTTTCTTAATTATTCGTTAAAATTAATACTTGAAGGTAATATAAATACAGAATATTATTAATCTTACTTTATTTAATTAGCTATTTGCATGTAAGCGATGATTGTCTGCTTCCAGTTTTCCAGTTTCTGCCTTCCAATATCTTTCTCTCTGATGGTAATATAAAGTACCTAACCATTTGTTTATTTGCTTTCATGAGGAATTAAAATGTAGGGCCATGGATTTTATTAATTTAAGTATCAACTTTTATAATATTTTTTTATTCATATCACTCGAAAAAACTTCGTCTACCCTCAGTTTATATTTGTCAGGAATGGTTTTCATTAAGGCCTTCATTTCTACTCTCACTTCTTCTGGTTTCAGCTCATCTTCAGTAACCAGTTTTACTAGTTTTGTCTCTTTACTACTCCTTCTAGGTTGAATTCTTTGACACTTTTCTAAACTCAGCAAACTTTCAGATTCTAGTATATCAGCTGCTCTAGATTCTACAACAACTATAGAATCAAGTTCAGGTTCCACAGATTTGAGCTGATCAATTTCCTTTTTTAAATTTTCTATTTCATTTTTTTGCTATTCTGATTCTTTAGAAAACTTGTTATTAATATATTCCATTAGGTCTAATTATTTTATAAATTCAGTATTTTCTCTTTCTAGTGTTTCAATTCATACGTGCAATTCTTCATTTTCTAAATAAATCAGTTAATTAATAAAGGTAAATTTTAATAATTCAGTTATAATTTAATTCTAACCTTTTTCAATATCCTCCCGGGTTCGAGTTTCATGTGACAATTCAACTTCCGGCATTGATATTCATGCAACTTCAGATACCAATATTTCAGGCAATACAATATATGGCCTTCTTCTAAGCAATTCAGCAGCCATAGTAGGGATTGAAGATTTGATATCAGGTGTTACTAAACGAACTGTTGCCACTTCTGATGCAGTTGATACGAAGGAAGTTTGTGATAGCAGGGAAGGTTGCGAAGGTTGCGAAGGTGAGGGCGACTGTTCTCTATAAAAAGTACATCCAGTTGGTTTTTTTTGTTTAGACATTTTAGATATCGGAAAGAAATATTAAATTAAAGGGATATTTAAATAAAATTATTTATATTGTTTTAATACAATTCGGGACTACATACAATATTATACTATTATTCGTTATATTATATTACAATTCAGAATCAAATACTATATTATATTATATATTATTCATCATAATACGTTTGTATTATATTAGAATTCAAGCTATTTAATTTATCAATCACAAATTTGTCACTTTATGTTACTATTTGCCAATTTTCAAAATGTCAAGAAAGCATTCAATTTCAGCTT